TTCAAGACGCCTCGATGCGTGCGCTAGAGAAGTATAGCGTGGACTCCAGGGACCGATCATTCAGGATGCCTCGATGCGTGCGCTAGAGAAGTATAGCGTGGACTCCAGGTGAGTGGATCTTTTCCTTTTTATTGTGCATATTATTGAGAGTTCTATCGACACTTTTAAATTGATTAGGTATATTACCTTCATATAATTATTGTGAATGCTTGAAGTACCTATATGAACTACGAATGGCTTGATCCCTATTTAGGGTACGTAGGCAGTCTAACGAGACGTTAGATGCAGCCATAAAATATTTGAGACAAAAGCCTTGCTTGAGAAATTGAGTAATGCGAAGGAAATTGGTAAAGACAAGTTTTAGTTTTGTGAATTAGTTAGTTAGATTAGAGTTAATTGGGTTGTCATGGATAATTATCCCTGAAAATAAGTAGTTTGGGAGTAGGGCGTTATTGATTGTACACTTCACACCATATTGTTTATAATTGATAATGCTACAACATGGTTGAGTATTAGATTGCATCATGGTATATCCATATGTATATTACTTGCATATAAATATTGGGAATGTTTTCAAGTGCAAAGGTGAACGCATGACACCCAGGTAAGTTCAGGTGAGTTTATGGTATTAGTTGAATTGATTGCGTTATAGCATGACTACAGTTATGAGTTAGGCAACTTCGATACTGTCGTACTGGTTGCCATGAGTTGCACATGTTATATTGAGATGCATTGAGAGCTCATAAACCTACACCCCGGTGTTAGTGCTCCCGCCCGTGGCCAGGGCACAGTCCTTCACGTGATGTTCACCTCCCGCACCTTACGCTCACCTTGGATCCAAGGTAGGTGCACAGTCCTGTCGTACAGACCACTTTAGGTGGTTCCGACTCGTAGGTGACCCGCGATTATTCGCCCAGTCTTCACGTGATTGTAGCACTTGAGCGTATTTATTTACACCCAATCATGTCGTACATACCACTTTAGGTGGTTCCGACTCGTGTGCAGGTATACTTATTGAGCTATATGCTAGCCAGGATTGACGAGATATGGATAAGTCGTACAGGTCACTATAGGTGACTCCGACTTATATGCTAGCCAGGATTAACGAGATATGGATAAGTTGTATAGGTCACTATAGGTGACTCCGACTTATATGCTAGCCATGATTGATGAGATACGGATAAGTTGTACATGTCATTTTAGATGACTCTGACTGATATATCACTTTGTATTGATTTAGTTCATTTGCCCTACTTATTAATGTATGGTGGATTTGATGGCAAACCGTGGTTTTGGTCATTTCTGAGTATGGTTTGGATATATGTATATATGTTGTACTGTCTTATGGAAAACGATACGGGTTTTACATTTAGGGGCATGACTTTTAGAGAGGTAGTAACTTTGAGAAGCTTGGTTTTATTACTTACTCACACCTTCTGTTTGGTGCCCTCCAGGTTTTAGCTGCTGAGTTTGTATCGACAAGAATCTGTGGCGAATCTTAGTATTAAAATGGATATTTTTGAGGGTATGATTCTTACCCACATTACTGTACCTTACTTATGCTTTGACATCGCGTGTGAAATGGGTTCGCTCCCACTCGTAGCGCACTCTGGTACTTAGACACTTTTAGATTCAAATTTATTCACTTTTTATACACTATCACATTTTATGGCTTCGTCACCTTCCAGGTGTCGGCCAGCATAGCTCGATTCAGGGTCCAAGTGGACTTTCTGGGTCGGGGTGTGTCATAAAATGTACCCTTTTTTTATATAAATCTATTCAATTTTTTTCTAATCCATTTTTAAACTTATATGGGTTATATTTTAATATTTTTAATCCCACAAATTATGGGTTTTTATTTTAAAATCTCATTAATATAAACAACTATGATGACACACCCCGACCGAGATCAGGGCATGTTGGCCGTCACGTGGAAGTGACGTAACCATGTGCACAGTGCGGAAGCTAATAAATAATAATAAAAGTATGAATAAATAAAAACCAGCTATACACAAAGTAAGAACATACAAGTGCAAGCGTAAGTGTGAAAACAAAGTTCAGAGCACGAAGACCTAATGCAGTCCGGGAGAAACAACACTACATAAACACACCCAAAGGTGGTCCTACACTAGTGATAATCTGTCAGATATGCCGGGAAAATCCTTTGGGGAGCCACCACAAGTGCTATCCAACTAGAACCTGGAGGGGCGGAAAACAAAAAGCGTGAGTGGGCAAAAACAAAGCTTTTAAAAAAAAAAACCATTTCAAAAACAAGGTTCTAACCCCTCGCCGTAAAACCTGTATACTTCCCATTAAAATAGAATATATATATATATATATACACATATATATAAATCATGCTCGGAAATATGCCACACCAAATGCCTCGATATAAAATGCAAGTACTCAGGTAATGCCAAACAATGTCATGTAATCTATCAGCCGGAGTCACCTAACGTGACCTGTACGACTGAATTTAGAGCTCAAATCTCCATCTCACTAACTATACCTGCACACGAGTCAGAACCACCTAAAGTGGTTTGTACGACAGGACTGGGTGTATAATAAGTACGCTCAAGTACTACGATCACGTGAAGGCTGGGCGAATAATCGCGGGTCACCTACGAGTCGGAACCACCTAAAGTGGTCTGTACGACAGGACTGTGCACCTAACTTGGATCCAAGATGAGCGTGTGGTGCGGGAGGTGAACATCACGTGAAGGACTGTGCCCTACTTTGGGCGGGAGCACTAACACTGGGGGTGCAGGTTATGAGCTCTTTATGCATCTCACATAACTACTGAACATAAACATAAACCATAACTCACCTGGCACTTACCTGTGCGTCTGCAGCACCAACACACATATAGATATGCAAATAATAATGCATAAATAAATGGGCAAACATAATGCATGGCATATAAGCGTATAAACGTTTCATTTCACTTTCTGGGAAAAACATAAGTATATAGGTATATACGGAAAAACCAAAAGCCCACTCACTGGTATGTAGAAGGGTCGTAACCCCCTTGCCTCGAGTGACCGCGCTCGTCCTCGGGATAGGTCTCACCTATATGCGAAACAACTATAAATACGTTAATTTTAAAGCACATAACCAACCTTATGAAATAACTTCTTATACAATGCTCAAATGGGGTGTATGAATACACCAACGTGATCTACTCAACCTCAGAAACATCCCCATATTTTTAGAAAAATTTTCCGACGCCGCACGCGCCCCACGCACCGGCCAAGGCATGGCCACACGCGCCGCCCAAGCGCAGGCACGTGCCTGGCACGCTGACGGTGTCAATTAACGCCGTCAAGAATATTCCGTTAAATCTAACTGATGTCGTTAAAGCCGTTAGGAATATTTTGTCCAAACTGACGGAATATTCTGTCATCTTCTCCGGCCAAACTCCGGCGCCGGAAAACCAGGAAATTTTCAAAACTTTGTATCTTCTTCGTTTTTCAACCAAATTTCACAAAATTGGTACCAAAATGAAGACAAGAGGAACAAATCCATACCACTTTTAAGCACTCAAACCCACGGAATCTCGCCGGGAAAACACCACCAACTCCGGCCAAACTTGTAACTCACAATCCCGACGTCCAAAACCTTCAAATGAACCACCCCGAGCCTCCTAAGGACCTCACCAAACTTCCTACAAGCTTGAAATTCCCAAAAACACAAGAATTAACGTGTGCATGAACAGTGACCAAAATCGGGGATCCCAAGTTCGACGTGAAAACGAAGGTATCCTTACTTGAAATGGGTATGATTGAACTCCTAAGGACCTCACGAGCACGAATATGTAATTTGTTTCCTCGATCTGTGAAGTTTTCAAGGGTTTTGGGTGGTGTCCGTACGAAAAGAATAGGAATGGGAGAGAGATAGGGACTCGGGACAGGGCAGAGAAAGAGGGTGAGTGTGAGGGTGTGTGTGTGGTCCAAACTCCACCAACCAAAGCCCAAAAATGACCACACAACGAAACAACCATACTAGGGGCAAAACTGTCATTTCACCCATACGGTACGAAAAATCCGGGACTGGCCGTCATATATAAATTTCAATTTTTAATTTAAAAAATATACTAACATACATAGAAATAAATTATCACATTAATTTCAGGGACTTTGATAAAATATTGAAAACCAAAAAGGTTTCAATCAAAGAATATTGATAACTAAGGATCACATCCAAAGTCTTCCTTTTAAAAATAGTACTACCAAATAAGTACTCAAAACTTAAAACTTGAAAAGTAGTTTATAAAGTTGAATTCAAGTAGAAGGAGGTGAGCCACTATCACGGTCTAGTAGTATTCCTTTTCACTGGTAAGGGAGAGATTTTAGGTTCGATTCTCACCAAAGATAAATTTGAACAACATTATTACTAGCCAATTATGAGGTTAAGCACCCTAGTGTAGATAATATCATTCGATTAGAAAGAGGAAAAAAAAAAGGTAAAGAAGGTGACCTTTCCATTATTTCAATGTTCAACTCCTTAACATCATAATTAGAAAATCATCCAACATTACTACTTGTCAATTTCATTGTTGTTTTTTGTTGATACTTCATAAAGTGCCTTCTTGCACTCCTTGTAATTATTTTCAACCATGTACAGGCGATGAGATTTAAAAACTAAAATTTCACTTGTATAAGTAAGATTGAAGTTTGTTTTCATTGAAAAGTCTCAAGCTTGACTCTCATGACTGGCACGTATGTTTACGAATTATTGTTTGCTCCATAATGTCGTTTAATTCCACCTAACCCTAAAACCGTCCTAAAAATACAAAAAAAAAAAAAAAAAAAAACACAAAATTCACACCCTCATTCTCCCGTTACACACCCCTACCCACCCAAAAAATTAAAAACCGAAAAAATAATTTGTTTTCAAGGTTTTCCCCTTTCCATCATAAACCAGCTTCTCAGTTTTGAAAAGGAATCACAAAATTAGAAAAAAAAATCTATAAACTAAAGCCATATACAAAACAACAACAATTGCAAAAAGGCTTCACAACATTTAAATGGAAGCCTGAAACAAATTAATTTAAATTGGCTAACACTCCCTTTACATAACACGAGACAAGTCTTGCTTCTTCCGTTTTTGGATTATCTCTAAATATATATACAAGAATGGTAATATAATGAAGCGCGCTTACAACGAGATTAAATTATTTCTCCTTCATATTATCAGGAAGTGCACAACCTTTGCAGATTGGACAAGAATTTTTCATTGACAACCACTTCTTGATGCAGCTCACATGGTAATCGTGACCGCAACTTTTCAATGCACCAACATCATCCCTGTCATTGTACTCTTCCTGTTAATCGGGTAACATACGAGTTAGATCTCCAGCAGTTAAGCAATTTACAGTCCAATTGGTCTAAAAAGCGCTAAGATAAAATTAAAACCACACTAATGGAAACAGCAATCTGATAATTTCTGGTTTCAAGTGGAAGACTCTTACCAGGCAAATTGCACATGAACCTTCATCCTGGACTTGATCCGATGAACAATATATGGTTTCTGTTAAACACTTCGGTATCAAATCTTCAGACAAGCCTGTGCTGACATTCCCAATCCTTTCGCTTAGTGCGAGGAGTTCCTATTTGTTCAGACATTTCGAGATATTCAGAATACATGAAAGTCAGAGGAAGAGAAAAATAAAGGCTTTTCCTATCCTTTCGCCTAGTGCTAGGAGCTACTTTTTGTTCAGACAGGAATATCGACATTACCTCATAACTCATGTTGTCTATGTCCAGCCTCATGTCTCTATGATGATCAAGCATATTCCTCGACCCATGAAAAACTGGGCGATCCACAACCATAAATCCCTGCAGTGGTAAATGAACAACAATTGGCTCACCTGTTTTCAGTACTGAACAAGGTTTACGCTGTACATAAGTTTTTTTTTGAGATTTATCAAATTTCAAAGCTTTAATTAACAATAAAATAAGTGTCAATAGAGCATATATTCCAGAGTCACATGGATCGCTTTCAACAATGTTAATACCATCAGTCCTTACAGATGTATGAACCTGATTAAATATGAGCATGAATTAAAACAGAATGCCCAACAACTATAGGCTAGCATTTTCAGATTTTATGTGCTCGGAAATAGCTCGAACAGTTAGATTGGGAAGTACACAACAGTTTGTATGCAATGATAGGGAAAAGAAATAAGTGTTTTCTGACTATTACAAGGGAGCTGCACACTTTTTGAATATAGCAAAATATGTAAAGATGCATCAGTTGAACTACATACCTCAGACGAAAACCGGTCCTGGAGAGCAGACTCTTCAGGGACTCGGTATCTATTATTAGACATCCTCAATCTACCACTCCTGTCATTTTGACGCCACCCAACAGAGGCCACTGGCCTAGGATGTCTTGGGTAATTTTCTGGCATCGGCTGCAATCCTTCATCTGAATGCGCTGCATGTCCCAATCGCAAGTTGCTTGAAGAAGCCCTGAAGGCTGGGGGAGATCTTTGAGAATAGGTACTGCGAACACCCCTTACAGTTTGGGCTAAGGCACCAGGATAACTTTGAGGAACAGCAGTACTTCTGCTCAACATGAAATCATGATGGTATAACCCATTATCCACAGAAGCATTACCACTACTTCCCAAATGGAAGTGGTTGGGATCATGACCAAAACCACTTGTATCTGCAGTTTAAAAGAAATCAATGAGTAAAAAATGACGTGACCCTGGATACAAGACACAAATGAACCAAAAACTAACCTGGAGCCATTACCCTTCCATGAGGAGCCACACTAATATGGTTCCACTCATTCGTCAAAGCAGTAGAACCCTGACCAGAGAGATCGTTGGTACTAGAATGGTCAATAGGGAGACTTGCAGGATAAGAAGTATGCAAAGGATTGCTCGATGAATATGTCCTAGCTAGATTGGACTCCAAATCATGTTCAGACCGGCTTCTCACATTTCTCATGGATCCGTCACCCCTAATTGAGAGTCCATTCCCTCTATAGCTGGGGATCATAGAGACGTGATCCCAGGGCATGTGTGAGGTATCCATGTTTACTTTCTCATGCTGTAATTCTGCAGACCTAGGGAGCTCAGAGGAACTACTTCCAGCACTATAATGTCTGCTGGTGCTTCCTCTCTCAGATACTGAAGGGATCCCTGGGCTTTTTCTCTTATGAGGACCCCTTCCGTTGCTCATCGTGAGATCAACAAAACCACCCTCAACACCAAGGAATGTACACTGGTCATAACTAGAAGAAGGTGCATGATGAGCATAGTTCCCACTGGCCAAGCCAAAGGTACCAGCACTTATTGGATGCTGAAAAGGGTCATGAGATGGACCAGAAGCATCAGGTTGAAAATGCGGTGTATCAACATTGTGGTTCATGGAAGAGTACCCATATGACCTCGGAGCGGGGTTCCAATTTGAAGCAAAAGGCATTCCATCTATACACATGTTTTCTACAGGATAAAAGAAAGAACTGTTCTCCCCAGTGCCCTCCCAGCCTGCAGTATTAGATCCGAAATCAGGCATAGTTCATCATGAATACAAAAGATATTCCACAGATCCGAAATTCAAGGTTTATACATTCAAACCGCAAATGACATAAGTGAGTTTGCAAATTATACACCAGACAAAAAGGAAAAGATAAATATACTAAAGGAAAATAAAGACAGTACCCAAATGCCCAAAAGGTTGTTCCATGTTCATATGATTCCAATTCTGCTCATTTTCACTCTCAAAAATATGAGATGTGGTGAACTGATGTCTATGCCCCATAACTTTCGTCAGCTTACAGCCACGAACAAGTTATGAGCTAGAAATAGAATCTACCAAATAATACCACAACCTGCAGAAAACGGGAAAGGCTCCTCAAAATGTAGAAAAGTAACTTCGTTAGTAATCAGACTGCGAGAGTCACAATACACATCAAGGACTCATATTGGACAAACATCAGAAAGGAAAGACAGCAGTGCTGCAGGTTCCCCCAAGCTGCATACATACTTAATTCCAAAACAAAGGCAAATTTTTTTTTTACTTTCTTTTCTTATTCTCATAACAACTTCACCCAAACTTGTAAATGCTTGTGTGAATGTAAGCTGGTATTCACAAATAATAGAATATTACATATTTTGTGTCTAAGTAGTGTGCAACCAAAATGTTTAAAGTTAGGAGATAGAAGAAACAGAAAAGACTAAAAGATCAAAACCATTGACCAAAGATGACAAGACTTGTAAGATTACAAGAAAATCACAAAATACCAATGAAGCCGAATAAAAATATTTAAGTTGTATGAGCACTGAGCAGTAAGAGGGGCAACAATATAACACCTAGATTTCAACACCAACCTAAGTGCGTTACATCAAAACTTTAGTTTCAAATATAGATACCTCTAAATAAATGCCACCCATACAAAATCATTCATTTGATATTAGTATTAATTTCTGCATGCCTTTACCCCAAATCAGGCTGTATCCAGAAAAATCTCTAAATGTCACCATTATTAGATATTTCTAAGGTTAATCATGCATGCATTTCTCTTCTTTCAGCATTTTCCATTTAAAACACATGGAGGCCCACATCTAGGCCACTACAGTAAGAAGTTAGAAGTATTAACCATAAACTCTTGATAAGTAACCCATTACAGAAGTATTTCTTGTAATAATTAAAACATTTCTAAACACTCAGAATGTAGATGGGAGAAAGGAGTCAGCATTCTTGTAGAAAATAATTTAAAGAAAAAAACCCTCAAACCAAAGCCAGACGGTTTCAAAGAAATTAAAACTGGTCATCAAAACAAACGAAAAAGGCAACCAACACATAGGCAAATGCAAGATAAATTTAACTTCCAGAGATGGGCAAAGAAAAATGCAGTTTATTGAAACAAGTTCTGGCCTTGCATGCCAATTGAAAATCTTCAAAATAGTTTGACTAAGTATGAAGTATATGCCACAACATCACCAAATAGCTCGACCAAGAGCCTCCTGCCTATAAATATGCTTTCACACTTTGACCCACCAATCTCTGGTCCATTCAGGGCCAATACTGAAGTAAAAGTCAAGATTTGTTCTGTTTAAAACAATTGTGCTGGGCAGAGATCCTTCAAATCCTAGTTGCACACCCACTAGCACCCTATGTCATTATCAACCAACTCCCTCTCGCATTCATCTCCAATAAGATGGCATTTCATTGATAATAGGGAGAGCCATTGTTTCTAAGGGACAATAAATAAGAACGGAAAGTGTAAAGAAACAATTAGCTGAAAGTGAGATGTGGAAAGATGGAAACAGGACCTTCCTTGAAGATATTACCTGTGTTTGGACTTTGAATCACAGGATTAGAAATCACCTAGCAGGTGTAAAGATGTAACAATCTCAATATCACACTATATTGACTTAAAGTATTTCTTGACATTCAAATATCAACAGTAGAATTTTAAAATAGATAAACTAAGACTAGAAAACCCACTACCAGATGTCCCCCTAGCCTCCAAATTCTGAAAAACAAAAAAAAAGCACAGTTCTTAATACTTTCAGTTCTAAGGATATTTAAAAAGATGCTCTCATCAAGGTTAAAGGTAGGAACTGTTCCAAATGAAAGCTGTAAATCTCTACTAATTAATAAAACCCTATTTGTCAACCAAAAGAGGGTGAAGAGACAAATTAGTCTTCTATCACATAAAAAAAATGATGGGCAATAATGTAATTTTACAGGTCCAAATTTTACTGTTTTTTATTGAAGCCTCACCTACAGGTGATGTTAAAATACCTCCAATATTAAATAAAAAATAAATAAAAAACCCAAAAACAAAAACCTCCCACTCCCCCACATTCTCTCTCTCTCTCTCCCTCTCTCCTCATTTTCTAAAAAAATGTGTTCATACACACAAAGTGTGTAGGCAAATGGTAGTATTTATAAATGAAAGGTACAATTCATATGTTACAAATAAGTAGAGATGAAAAAAGTAAAATAAATGGAAGAGAGTCTTCGGAGACAGTAACATCAGGTTAGTATAACCATAAAATGTATTTATTTCTTAAACCTGGAGCCTTCTCTGTCTACAACAAGTTTCTACACTAATAAAATCCATCGCCCAATACGAAGAGAATCTTCGTCTGAAGACTTAAGGGTTTTGTCTTCATATCATACACATCTTGAGACAGTTTACAATTGAAGCTATAGAGTACACATAGAGGTATACTTGCACCCTAAAATGTAGGATTGGAGACCTCAGAAGACAGAAGCACAATATTAGTATTTGTAAAACTCTCTCTGCAGAGAGGCTCTTCGGCAAGATGATGTCCTAATAAGCAGCCAAGATATTCTCATAATCTCAAATCTGGAAACTCTTCTTTGCGTGGAAGCACAGCAAAGAAACTGTACAAGTGTCAAGGGTGCATAACCTACGCCAATCTGAAGAAACTCAAACCACCAATTATGAGCTAGCAGCCCACTGCCTCCCATCCAGGTAAGACAAGTATAAGAAAAGTCGAAACACCCCAACTACTCCCTCCACCCTGTTAGCCTACACCAAGCTCTGTGTATCAGTGATACAAACATCAGCTCCTCAGAGTTCTCAGTGATGATTGCCCATTACTCACGGGCAAATCATCCACCACAAGGGTAATGATAAGTGGCACTAGATCCAAAAGTTCAATATGCAAACCAAACCGCATGGTTCAGTCCAGTCACCTGAGCACAAGATTCTCCAGAGATTGCATGTATCAGTGTATCAAAAGCTGGTCAGTATGCTCTCCATTCATTGACACCTCCTAAGCACACAATCATCAGTATATCCAGTATATCCATCAGCTCACTGCTCTATTTGGCACCAACGTACAGCAACATCATAAAGGTAACTCCAAATACTAGGAAAAATGAGAAGAATGAATTGACCAAAGGAACTTTACAAAGTCAATTGAATTTTCCCATGGCATTATATTATAGCCAACCTCTCCGTCACCTCAGTCTGACATTTCCAATCACTAAACAAAGGGCCAGGAATTATCAATCTAACAACCATGACACTATCACCGTCAAGGCTACATTTTTTTTCTATCTCACGTCTGGCCTCCACTAGCTCAGGTGGTTAGACCCAGTTAAAGAGAAATCCAGTTTCTTACTATCTGAGCAAGTAAAAATACTACAACCTGAGCTAGTGGAGGCCAGACTTGAGATACAAGCATTCAATAATACAACTGACTTAGGCTCTCATAAAATGGCAGCAGATCGTGCCAATAAATCCTGAAGAAAAGACGAGGCTTCAATTGAGATGCTTTTTATAGAAGACCAATTGATCAAAAATTCCCTGCAACACCATTCATAATTCAGAGCATGAAAGGAACTACACACCAAAACACCCCCCCCCCCCCCCCAACTCCCCCCACCCCCCAAATTGCCAAAAAGAAAAAAACTAACGTAAGACATCAAATGCGAATATTTATTTAGAGAGCTATAGTAAGGCATGACATGAGAAGTATGAAGAAACATGACCACTTTACTGAACTGTAAACCTTAGAAAGATACGGCTCTAAGAAACTCTCACCTGCAGGTGCAGTTGTATCACCTTCAGAACGCGGGTACTAATGTTCCTCTTGAGTCGAACTCAATACAAGCATTCAATAATAATACACCACCAGCACACCAAAACCTGCATAATAAGAACGGTCTAAACCTAGCCGATGCTAAGGTAATTCAGAGTGACAATTTATTATCTAAAAACCCTCAAATCCACCAAGCAAACGTCCGTTGAAACTAAACCCCAAGGGAGGTAAATCTCTATGAAACAGTAGGTGAGACCCTGATGTTAGTTATAGATAAAAGTCACTTCCCCTGAATAACTAATTACCAGGGAGAAGTGATTTATGATTGCAATCATCACCACTAATATAATGATCATCATATCATCCGCCCGCCCGGGTTCATTATATACATGCTACAACAATTATACAACAGAATTAAACCAAACAACCACAATTCACAGCTCCATTTTACACAATACAGCATCCACGTTAACAAAACTAAAAATACCGCAAATCACAAATTCCTAAATAGAGGAAAAACAGATACATACATACATACATATAACATATATATATATATATATAATTTTATAAAGTAGCACCATCAAACAAGCAAACCTCATCGATAAGAGGCCGGAAACAGCACGACAACAACAACAAAGAGTACCGAACAGGATGATCAGAAACGTAGAACGGGAATTGATCGAGAAAACGATGATCGGACCTCAAAATTTTTTTAAATTAAATTAAAAAAAAAAGTGAAAAAAATATAAAAAATCGTGCAGAAACAATAAAACGACGATCAAGCTCTGGAAACTGAAAGAGCTTAAGAAAATGAAGGAAAAGTCATACCTTTGAAGTCGATGAAGGGCTGGTTCTGCAAAAGGAACAAACTTTTAGAGAGAGAGACAGAGAGAGACAGAGAGAGGTGCTATTGAGGCAGGAAGGAGAAAAAGATGAATAAAGCGGCTGGGTGCGTTGTTTGCAGAAATAAGAGGAGGAGAAATTGTGACTGCCCACAAATTTACCGGATACCGACATAACCTCTATTTACGTTATTATTAATCACTTTCAATAATAATAAAATAATGATAAGTAAAATGTTAGATCATCTCACATAAAGATATAAAACAGCAACAAATGACATACCATTTACTCAAACCGATATGTTAAAGGAGACATGGAAAAGAATGATAAGCTGATATGGACAAAGAGATGTCAAAATTGAAGCTACATTCAAATATGATTTTTGCTATTTCCAAAGGCATTCTCCTTGCGTTACCTTAAATGCTAGCATACTAAACTATTATTTTATAATTTTTAAACCAATAACAACTCAACTTTTATTATTTTTGTTAAAAAAAAACATAAATGAAGCAATAATTTTATGCATATATGGTGGAATGGAAAAATATTGACAATATGTCAAATTGCCAAGTCAGCTATCAAATTTAAATTTAATGTTTTGAATTTGATATCTCATTTGAAAATATTCTAAGAGTATCTCCAAAGAGATATCAAAAAGTTCACATAAGCAATAATGGTAAAAAAAACTAAATTCAGGAGAGAGAGAGTTGCTATCAAATTTAACACCAGCTTCAAATTTATTTTTAGTGGATATTAAATATTTTTATAACTTTTATTATTATCTTTTGTTTTAAAAATACTAATTATGAAAGGTAAAGAATAAAAGTAATAATAATTTAAATTTGACATATTAAGTGGTGAACAAAATTTACAAAAATATCAATATGCCACATAAGCCTTCGAATTTAAATTTAGAGTTCAAAATTTGACATCACCTTTGGGAAGTAGGATTCTCTCCCCTCATATTCTCATCTCATTCCCTCTCCTCCTTTTAAAGTTTTCTATTACTTATTTTCTTTATAAAAAAAGCAATATCGATATTGACGTAACTTAATTATAACCGTTAAATAAGAGGAGAGAAAATGAGAGAGAAATTAAGAGGGAAGAGAATCCTCCTTCTTTCTTTAGAGATGGTTACTCTTAAACGCAATCGTAATTTTAATTTTTTTTTTTTTATGAATTTAATATTTATTTATAGAGAATGGTAGGATGCCTTTTATTCAAACTTGCAAAAGCTTCGTACCCACTTCCGAACAGGTGCCAGTCTTTGAGGTCACCAATTTCTCTTTCATTTTTCTTTTCGTTTCTTTTTTTTTTTTTTTTTTTTCAAAAAAGTCTTATCTCATTAGTGTCTTAATCTTGACTCTTTTGCGTATGTGAACCGTAATCTAAAATGCCTAAAAGAATGAGAAAGCAACTTTGATTACGAGGTCCTTCATTGCACGCCTATTCCTTTATGCCTATTAATTTTTTCCTATATCATACCCAATCTATCTATGTCCAATTCGATTTCAAAAGCAATTGAGAGGGTTAGAATGAAGAAAAAACTCGTTAAGACCCAACTTAACCTCAACCTGACCGTTTATTGGGTTAGGTTGAGTTGATGCCTTGCCACCCATGTCAACGCAAACTCAATCCGATTTTGAGTTCGAACTTGCTCATGCATATATTACTCATCTCACTTCATATTATATAAGTTAAGTATAAGTTTTGAAATGATAATACTTGGAAGTTAATTGTTAATTTTTCATATGGATAATGAACTTTTACATTTCTTTTGGTTGAAGATTTAGTATTTGTCTTGTAATTTAATTACACTTTGCATGGTTGAAACATTAAAAATAGCCTCCAAGTTATTTGCTTTAACTTTTGTGTGGATTATGATGTGTAAATGAAATTTTAATTCATATCGACACTGTTTTCAAAATTTGAAAAGTCATTCAAAAATTATGAACCTAAATCCAATCTAAACCTGAATTGTGAAGGTTGTGTCAGAGTTAGGTTGATCATCCAACCCACCCAAGTTGCACCCATACATACTATAAATTTCTAGTATGAAAAATGTATTGAATTTTTTAAATATATTTATAAGCTATAGAAACATATTTATAAGCAACTGGTTAATCCCTTTCCAAAAAAGAAAAAATCAACACACCAAACACTACGCTTAGATTTATTTAACTGTCAATTCAAGAGTTTGTGTGAAGTTACTTTGAAAATAACGGGTATAAAGTGAAAAAAATTACGTGCCACATTTTATACCTCTATTTGTAACATCCCACATCGATCCATGAAGAGGGGGTGATGTGCTTTATATGTACATGCCCACCTTCATATAGCAC